GAGGGGTGGGACAGGCGTCATTCCTGGACGCACGAACAACCGTCGGCTTCCTGGCCTCTGCCCCTCGCGTTGCTTCGGGTTCGCGGTCTCTGGCAGCCGCAAAGGGTCTCGGTCGATCGGTTCCCTGAGTCCCCACTGCCCAGCTGTGCACTCGGGGTCACTGGGCATCGACCTGAGCTTGTCTTCTTGGTGCGTGCAAAATTTTTATTTAAAAAAAAAAATTCCTCCTTCTCCTCAGCTCATAGGCAGTCCTCCTTATATCTCCTCCGGTGATAGAATCACCTCTCCGTAAGCATTTCGATCCCTCAGAACAAATCACATGAATGTCTCTGCAAAGGGGAAACCATAAAGAAACGTAGGGAGGATGTGCAGGGAGACATAAGCGAGAACTAGTAAAACTCTTGTTAGAGGGCCTGCTCAGGGTCCGTGGCGTCACTGGGCCTTTTACTTGCAAAGCCAAAGAGTTGTATTCCTAAATGAGTTAAAGACCCATTTACCTCTGTCGTGTTCTATTCATCAAGCCACAAGTTGAGAGTTCCTAACATGAAACTATTTGTTTGCTTACACAACCAGCTGGGCGCAATTTCACGTCTGAGATATCTATCTGAAAGCGCCCCTCATTTATTATCTCTTTTTGTCAGCGAATCCATTTTCCAGCTCCTCTCCCCCTTTGGAGTTTGTCTGTCTGTCTGTCTGCCTGTCTATCAACTATCTATCTTTCTATCTATCTACTATCTATCTATCTATCTATCTATCTATCTATCTATCTATCTATCTATCTATCTATCTATATCATCTATCTTTCATCTATCTATCTATCTATCTATCTATCTATCTATCTATCTATCTATCTATCTATCTACCTATCTACCTATCTATCTAATCTAGCTAGCTAGCTATGGTGGGACTTCTTTACCTGAGAGATCATGGGTCTGGAATGCTCCCCGTGGAGCGGTCGCTCTCTGCGCGGTTTCTGCGCGGTTTCGTGGACCAGGGGGCAGCAGAGGCGCACTGTCTGCCACCCTTGACCCCCATCGGCTGATGGGCCAGCGTGCCGAGCTGGCAACGGGTGTGCCCGGCGGGAAACAGCGGAGCTGCCTTTCTCCTTGGATGTCCTCCCTACTAGCTCTCCCAAAGTAAGCAGCAACCACCTGTGCGAGGAGGGGTTGCGGGGGGGAGGGGGCGGGGGATGGGAAGGGAGCCCCTCTCCGAGATGGGGGCCGGAGATACAGATTTGAGAGATGCTTTCACAAAGCCTCACCCAGTCCCTTGGGGTCAATTTCTTCTCTGGGGCAGGAGCACCAGTGAGTAACCAAGATGTAAATAGTTGTGTGATAGATTGGGGGAGGGAGGCAGGGCATTTATTGTGTGCAGAGGGGAGAAGGCTGCACGTGGTTTCAATTTTAAAGCACAAAGAAATAACATGCAATGCAGAAAAGAGGTTTATGAATGTAATTGAGAGTAAAGAAAACAATTAACACGGTGCAAGGTTGCACACTCGATTCTCCACCCCTCACCTTCTCTTCTACCCTAATTTTGAGAAATCCGGATCATGTGAATAGAGTAGGTCTAGGCAGTTGGATCTGGCTGACAAGGGAACCCCGGATGGAGATCACAGTGATGGGTGGATAATAGTGTCTATCCATCTCCTAGTCTGCTAAGGCCTCCTCCAACCAAGCTGAAAGCAAGGGATCAAATCCCCAAGTCCAGCGTATAAAATATCCCCAGTTGTAAAGATGGAACGGAAAAGTGGTGTCTCTAAGGGAGGGGAGAGGGAGAAGAAGAGAGATAGCAAGGGATTTTTTAAAGGCAGACCAAGCTGATCTCTGCAGGCTATCCTATTGTGTTGATTTACGAAGACATTTGCTGTATATAACGTTTAA